CTCCTTAGAATGTCTGCTGTCCTCTTCCTCCTCCTCCTGATATGTTCAAGGCAGGCTTGAGTTCAATACCTTTCTAATAGCTTTTTATACTTCTTTTTTCTCAGATGTCTACCCATGTGATCAAATAGTGCTGCTGGTGAAAGCGTGTTTGGTAATTTACTTTTAAATACCAGTGGTTACTGAGAAACCTCAAAAGATAAAGCCAGCACTTCAAGAGTTAATATGTTATTAGGAGGACAGGAAATCTGGCAACTATTGCAGAAACTAGACCTAATGGTGCACACAAACAATTTGTCAGTCTTGGTAAATGTGAATAGCTTTCCGCAAAGTGGCTGCTTTTGCTTTGTTTGAACAGCCTAAACTTTTCCTTTTTGGACTTTAAATCTTAGAAGTGAAATGTGATCCACATATTGAATCAAAATAATTTAATTCAAAACATATTTTGATTGGAACAAGGTTGACATGGAAAGAAACTCTAGAATAATAAAAAAAAAAGTTGAAAGGACTTTCTATCATATATTTAGCAGGAAAATTTGAAACAGTTCTAATTAGGCTGAAAAAACCAGCCTTCTTCATTGTAGCTTACAAAGGTCATATATCAATGTTAAGGCAGCATTACCAACTTGTGTCTGAAAGCCTGCACATGCAAACATAGTTCCAGTTGTTTGGTTTTGTTGGTTTGGGGTTTTGTTGTTTTTTTTTTAAATGTACGTGCGCGCACATACTTCCAAGCCCGAATACGTACTTAGTATCAAGTAGTTACCTGGTATCGCAGTTATGCGGGTGCTTTGTCATGTTCAAGAAGAGTATTTTTCATGATAAAATTGTGTTTGTACTAAAAATGTATTTCATGCTTTTCTGTTCATACATAAATATTTTTCAAATGGAACGTAAAAACAGACTCAATTATTTTAAGTGTTTCAAAGGAAATGCCTTACTTCAAAGAGGAACTAAAATAGCCCATTAAAGGCAATTATTTGTACTTGAGATTTGTAATTTCTTACTTGCTGATGTAGAATATTCCTGTAGGTTGTTTTTTGTTGTTTTTTTTTTAATTGAGTGAATAGGAAAGATTATTCATGTATGAGAAACAGTTTTGGTTTCTCATCAAAGTTTCTACTTTCATTTTAACTATATAAACCACATTTTGTGTAGGTTGGACTTCTGTCTTTCAAGTAAGAGTTACATGCATGCTTTATGCCGTGCTTCAAGATTACTTTGCTTTAATCAGCATAGGAATAAGGCAAGCAACTCTGTGGTCTGTTTCTGAATAGCTTGATTATGAATAAATATCTATGCTGGTGAAAAGAAATACAGTTAATCTTTTCATCTTATTTCAGCATTGGAACATCCCAATCCCAAGCACAGTATATATTCATTTTTAATAGACATCATGTCATATGCTATATGTCATTACGTAATCTAAACCAGAGAGAAAAGTAGAGGGCAAAAGCCAATAGTAGTCACTTTAAAGCTACAAATCTTGATTCCAGGGTTATAATATTGTTTGGGAAAATATATCATGGTTAGAATATTTGTAAATATATCAATGGTTAGAGTATTTATACTGGAAAAAGGAAAAATCTTCCCTATCCTGCTAGTTCTATGGTTTTGTTGTTCCAACCGTGTTTTACCAAATTATTTGTTATTGGTATTAGACTGATATTAGTCTTTGATTGCTAGCACGAAATTACTCTCCGTTCATTCCTTTTGGAAAACAGGGCAGAAAAAGATGCACATAAAATAATGAATTTCAGAGTTGTTTGTGGAGAAGTCATTTTGATTGCACATATTTAGTGACAGCAGATGGGGCATTTGAAAAATATTTATGGATAAACTAAAATTTCCTTGTAAGATCAAAGCTTCGATTTGTTGATGTGTCTGAAGCGTTTCTACCTTGGGAATGGAGAAATGAAAGTTACTAATAGGTGTTTGTGTTTGACATCTGTATACTGTACTTTTTAGCATATCTCAAGTGTTTTAGCCTCTGCCTAATAGATCTCATTAAAGAAACAGATATCAGCCCCAAGACAGTTTGTCAAAGTTAATATGAGTCCCTGTGGGCAGAATTGACAATTTGTGTGTGGCTTCACGTGACGTTCTTTTCATGGTCTTGTTTGATCCTGTAACAATTGGGCATTAGTCACTGATTTATTTTACAATAACTCAATAGGATTGAATCTTACTGTATTATGCTGGACATTTTAGAGGATTTTCTTGGTTTGTGCATTTTCCTCCGAGCACGCAGTAAATGATGTACTCGGTCTGCTGCGGGAGTGCTAACCATTGATTGGTTTGCTTTAAGAGCAGCATGGGAAGGATGTTAGCATCCCATCGCTGCATGCCATATTTAACTTGAGCCTTAATGAGCTCTGGCTGTCCTAGATGCCTAAGTAATCCTAAATGCTTAGCATTTGACATCCTTGGTTCAGTTTTGCAAGAGGTGAATGCTAACAGTAACTTTTTTTTTTTTTTTAAAAGCTCCTTTTAAAAACTGGATAGTTGTGCAAATTGGAACTTTTTCAGTTCTCAGATTTATTTTTTTTAAGGAGTACTCTTACTTAAATAGTATATACCGGTGTGGCTGTAAAGTGCATCACACATACTGGTACATCGTGGTGTTTTCCTTGAAAGTCTACTTTATTTTTTAATCATTATACAGACTGTTAACTACTGTGCCTCCATCGATTGTGTCATAGCATAAGCACTTCCCTCCAACCACGAGCTTAACTGTGAACCTGAAATAGCCGGCAAGCTTAGCTAGCCTTTGAGTTTGTGTGCTATGTTTGGTCTTTCCTTCAGGGTCCTGGGTATCGATGCTGACTGTAGTGATTTTTTGTTTAGCCCTTGTATTGTGATTTACCAAATAAGAAATAAGATTTAAAATGGCCTAACATAGAAAAAAAAATTAAAAGAAATTTATCTACTTTGGAATCTGTATAAATTACAAGTGTAAAATGATTTTAAACTTGAAAAAGAGAAGTAAATTCAGGATGGCTCCCAACCATTCCATGAAAAGGCAAAGAGTGGTTTCAGTTTTGCTTTTTTAAGAAAAAGTCAAATTTATATATCTGTTGATCTGAGGTGATTTCAGAGTGATATTCCTTTAGTTATTCATGTGCAAATGCTTTGTGAGGGTAATATGACCCATTACAAATCCAGCTTTTGAAGAAAAGGAAAATACAAACAACCTCTGCACGTGCTAAATATATATGTATAAATGTAAAAATCACAAGTTCTTAATGCTGTTTTTCCTGACATTAAATAGTTATAATGATAACAGTAAGTATATTCTAGGGTTAATTTTTTTTTAGCAGGATAGCAAGAAAATTAATTCCTATCATTGTCATTTGCTGAGCCCTGTAGAATTTTATGGCTGCACATTGTAGTATTATGGACACTCATGAGACTCCTGACTGGTTTTATCTTATTAAACAATTTTGAAATCATTAATTTTTAATTGGCCCGCTTGTGGTTTTTTATAGTTTTAATTGTGTGTCTGTGTCTAGATGTTGGGGGTTTTTAATTTAAAAAAAAAAAAAGAAAAAAGAAAGAAAGAAAAAATCCTGTCTAAGCATATATGTTGTAAGGTATTTCCATATGATCATCCAAAGAGATACTATACTCTGTGGTAATTCATTTTAACGAATGCTTTCAGCAATTCAGTAGCTGGGAATCCTAATAAAAATAATAATAAAAAAAAGAATGATATGATGTCGAAGATATGTACAGGTCTTTTCTTGATTGAAAGTTCTAATTAAGTGAATCGAGGAAAATTAACTGAAATTAGCTGTCAGAAAGTCACATTTAAATGAGTGATGATCTGGTGTGGCAGTAAACATTTAAATGATATAAATTGCCATTTAAGTGTATGGTTTAATGTTTGTCATGCATTAATATGACATGAGACTGCAGTGACAATCAAGCAGCTTGCTCTAATTTGAACATATTTAGGGCTTTTGTGCGGAGTGCACCACACAAATTAAGACAATTGCTGTTTTTATGTGTCAATTTAAATGTTGTTTTCAGGCATCGGTTAATGAAACAAACCCATCATTTTTGTGTGCAAATTGCAGAGTGATTTCCTTGGTTTTCAGATTAATTTTAACTTCCTCTGCTCAAAATTAGGAATTTCCTTTACAAGGAAAATGCCATTCGTTTCGTTAGATGAAGAGAATATCAGACTTTTTTACGTTGTTTCATTTGCTCATTTAAATAAGAAATATATTGAATCCTCTGTATAAAATAGAGAAAGCAAATCCTGCTAGTGATTTAATCTAGATGAATTAACTCTTCAGATGACAATGATTTTTAAGCTATCTTTTAATATATTTGTGCTGTGTCTAGTACCATTATGAGAGTTTCATTATTGTTGGGTTGCTTTTGTCTTGGGGGTTGGGTTGTAACTGGATAACATCTTCAGAAAAGTGGCTTAATTATTCAGGATAGTAGTGTTTCTGTATAGATTTGTATGAGAGATACGTGCGAGAAATGCATAAAAATAATAGCAAGTTGATATTCCAGCATGTTAAAAAATTTGTACCCTAACATTCCTAGTTAGTTGAGTTTTCCCAAATCTATCAATCTTCTCTCTGTCTGTCAGAATCAGATTATCATGCTGCTGTTATTCACTGTGCAGATCACACAGAAAAGCACAATTTCATCTTGAAAGTTCATAAAAACATAGCCTGGCTGTCCATAAATGCATAAATACTTTCCACTTACTGGTTTTTTTTTTTTTTTTTTTCTTATTCCCACTATTATAGTTTAAAAAGCAAGGTCTTCTGGTCAGCGGGGAGAAGAGTAGGGCATGAGACTCTGGCATCTATCACAGGGCCCACCTTTTTTTTGCATAGATTGTCTAAAATACTGTTACCAATTCTGTATTTAGACTTGTTAAGGTAATTTTGTACGCTATTAAAAAAATGCTTCTACTACTGCTAAATGATGACTATCTGGCAAACTCAAGTGTATGCATTTTGTGTGTGGTTTCTTCACAGGCATTAGAAAGCGAGTTTGTTTCCTGCCAGCTTCACCAGTGGATTGATCTGATTTTTGGCTACAAACAGCAAGGGCCAGAGGCTGTTCGGTCCCTGAATGTATTCTACTATTTGACTTACGAAGGAGCTGTTAATTTAAGTTCAATAACGGATCCCATATTGAGAGAGGTAAGTCTGTACTTTAAATACAGGAAAGGAAAATCTTTGTTAACCACTGCGGTGCTGAAAGTGCAAAGACTGCACGTTGTTCAAGGCTGCTGGCGAATGTTCAAATCTTTGCATTCTCTCATGGTTTGCCTACAGGCCAGTCAAATGCAAGGTGCCTGAACCAGTTGTCACAGCATGCAAAATTAAGAGAACAAGCATGCAAGTTGTTCTTAAACTTTGCGCACCTGGATTCAGCACAAACTGGATGCCAACATCAAATCAAATGTTCAAGGATTGCTTCAGTTGCTGAGGGCAGTTGTTGTGTCCACTAATATCGGATCTTAATGGCAGAAGGCAGTGAGCAACCTTCATTTGGCTTGCACTTTTGAATTTACTTTTACAGTTTTAACAATTCTCTTAATGCAATCCTGCATGTGTAGGACACATCAAACACCATAGTTCTGTAGCTTCCATTTTTTTAATTTGGCTTGCTATCAAATGAATAGTAACTTGCCCTGTATTTTTCAGATGCAAAAGTAAATATTTAAACATTGGAAAGATCAGTCGTCTCACTCAGACTCAGCACCCTTCAGAAAAATCTGTTTGCTAAAGTATCCCTTAGGATATTGTGGGCTTACAGACTCCTCCCTCCTCCATCTAAACAGCTGTTTAAAAAAAAAAAAAAAAAGGGTGGGGTGGGTGATTAAAATGGATTTTTGATTGGTTTTGCATCCTCTGTTCAGACTATACATTGGTATAAAGTATACCTGCAAGGTTATTAATTATAGAATAAATGTAACTGGTACTTTGTTATAAAGTATTCTGAGTCCCTGAGAACAAAGTAATATGAATGCTATCAACAATTTTATTTAAAAGGGTGGCTAGATGTATACCAACAGGGAATATATGTGTGAAGTGAATGAAAACAAGAATGAAGACATTTCTGCTTACAAATATTAAGTTTGACGTTCAGCGTAAAGTTGTAGGCTAATCTTAATTGACGTTTTTGTTATTTATTGCTTATTGAAAGAAGGTGGTGTGAGAAGTAAGCAATTATGCTTTTAAATAATACTATTTTCTCTGTATGTACTGGCCATCTGACTGTTTGGGGCACCTTGACAGCCTCTGTAGAGAGAGTCCCATCAGAGTGACACTGTGGGTTGTAGCTGGCTTGTGGGTGCAGTGGAAAGGTTTGGGAGACATGCAGGGCTTGTAGGGGTACACAAGGACTGGCTTAAATACCAAAAGCGATGGCTGGATGTTGTCATTACGTGGGTTGCTGTCAAGTCTGCAGACTGCATCTTGATCCACTTTGAGCTAAAATATAGATGTTGCACATTAGTACATACAATTGAGCTAAGAAAAGAGATACTAGAACACTTGGCTTTTAAGAAAAAATGTCGTCATCATCTGGGTTTGAAAGAGTTATTGACCCAAGGGTACTAGATGTTCACCCTGTCATGTTTTCATTTCATTAATAATGTTTGCCCTCTGTACACTGACAAGGAAATATTCTTACCTTGCAAGAGTATTTATTAGACTCTTGAAGTGCTAGGTTTAAGTGTGAGCTGAAAAATCAACTGGGCATTGTGTGTAATTTGTTCTTAATTTTGGTAGTAAATGAACCACCACTGAACCATCATTTATGAAACTAATAACTGAAGTAATACTAATCAAAATAGCGGTCCGCCACACACAGTTTTTATGTAGTTTTTAATTTTTCTGGAACAGCTCTGTAATCAGTTTAACTGTGATCTGTTTTACTTGAGTCATAGCCTGAAAAAAGTAATTTAAGACCAGGGAGGTTACAGATTTGTCTGGAAGTGTGGATCATCCCAGTTAGAGAGGCATTCACTTTGTACTTCTAGAAATATATTAATATATCTTGTTACCAAATATTTTGAATTTTTCATGTTTTTATTGCAGTTCACTACCATGTTTCTTATTTTTGAGTTGCTCTATGCTGCCTGAACTGAGTGGCGTATAAAAATGAAAAGAGGAGAGGGAGGACGGCAGTGCTGTTGAGTTCATAATAATGGGGTAGCGTAGCAGCAGCAGAATTTTGAAACACTACTGATGGTGTCAAAAATACACGCTGATGAGTGCAGACAGCAGAATGAATGGTACGTTGTAGCAATTCCGTGCTGAGTTACTTGGAGATTGGTCCAATGGAAGATTTTTATTTCGTATTTTTAAGCAGGTCAGTAAAACAGTAAAAAGATTCCTGTGTGGTTAGGTATCCCTTGCGACTCACAAGTATTTTGTAAAGCATATTTTTTATTATGTAAATGTGTATATGTAATTTGAAATGGTACATATGATCAGCTCTGATAAGATATTGACAGTGCAGATTTAATGACTATCACCACCAATAGTGAGTTATTCTGTTTTTACTTATGGGTAGAGATGAAAGTAATAAAAAATCTGTTTGTGTATATATCTATGTGCATAATCATTCTATATCTATGTGCTAAATGAATTTATCATGCACCTTTGACAGCCTCACCTTCTTCCTGCTTACTAATCCATCTCCCTGAGGACCTGTGCTAACGTTCTGTACTGCCGAGCAGCTTCAATCAGCATTTATTTTGCTCCTTCAGTCAGCTTGCCAGAAAATATTTCTTCTTTATTCCACCAAATTCCTGGGTAGAGGCCAAATGAGTTTCTGATCTGGACAATTAACAGTATTTTTAGGCAGGCATGACACCTCAGATTTAATATCTGTTTATCAGGCAGCTATTAAACTGGAAATTTTACTCTGCATTTCTTGATTTCAAAAAGGATGCTTTTGGCTTTCTCCTCTTGGTAAGGTTCGGGGTTTGGGTCTTTAAATCTTGATGGTTGTAGCAGAAAATACATCTTTATTTGCAAACCTAAAACAAGGAGAAGCTTCCATGTACTCTGAGGGTTGCAAGTTACTGAGGCTTTTAGGCATCATATGGAAATAACAGCACGTGCCTAAAGCATGGCAGTTTCTCCACATAGATAGTCTGTGCTAAGCCTGGACCGCATCAGTAATGAGAAGCCCACGATGCATGTGTTTCTGAAGTATCTTCACAGATTTATGCATGGATATTGGTGACCTAACTCATCAGGAGAGGCCACACACAGAATAATAGTGGAAGGAACTGAGGACTGGAGTAGTTTAGGTTAATGCAGAATTTCCTTAGGTCTCCTAAATGGCTCCAACTGGCACCTTTATTTTTATAGGCAGTCAGGTTATATATATTACAAGAAGGAAGCACTCGTCTAGGAAGGAAAACTACTTGATTAAAACCATATTCCACCTTTCTTTTTTTTTAAACTGAAAATGTAGAACTTTTACATCCTCTCATACTGCTGTGAACAATTTTTTCCTGCCATTCTTTCTGCCTATGGGAATAAAGGAAGTAAAGTATTTTGAAAGGATCTGACTGCTATAATAGAAAATTTTAAACTGAAATGCAAACCATGGGCCACATGCTACCTTTTGGCAGATAAACCCTGGGGAGTGCAAAGCTTACATAATTCAAAGGCAAATCTCAGGGGGAGGGGAGGAGATCAAGAGAGAAGGGTTTGAGTCGCAGCCAGTGGGGGAAGGGAACCACAACCAGGAGGAGCAAGGCAAGAGTTCCAGTATATCTGGTGGCATATCTGTGCGCTACTTGTCCCTGCCGAGACCATTCCTTCACCCTCCTCTTCTTCCCCTGAGCCATTTTAGCAGCATTGTCATTGACTCTGATCCTTGTACTTGTGCATCTGGCTGAAGGAGGTTACAACTGCAGAGGGAAGTTGCTGTTCAGTTGACAAGCAGTAAATATCACAGGTCTTTCCGGTGGAAAATACGGTATTTGCCTTCTGTTGACTCATTCTTGAACACCATGTTTTGATCTGAGGAACTCCCAGCCACAAGATCTGCCGTGGAAGGGCTTTTTTGTTGCCTGTATGGAAGAGGCAAGGAGTCACAGTAGCACAGATAAATGTCATCCAACCGTTCTGGAGAGAATTCACAGCACCTTCTTA